TGCCACTAGTGCGCAGCGGGTTGCAGGGAGTTAAAATGAGATAAAAGAGGATCGAGGAAAGGACAAAAGATGAATGGGATTCAAGAAGATAGATGGCAATTGACGTTACATTTAATTTTGTTAAGATTGTAGTTATCAGGGTAAGCAAGGAAACGGAAGGGAGTTTCACAGGGCAGAAGTGCGAAAATGGAAACTGTTGGAGTAGAAATGGATAATTCAACGGTAAACTGGTGAGACTTAGATGCAAATCTAGTAGTACGCTTAAATCCATGTAGTGGGTCACCAGGGAAAAATAAGCTTGTCAGAGCAGCAGTCATGAAAATATTTGTAGAAAAGACAAAGGGAAGATACGTCGGTGAGAAAATGACTGAAGTCGAGATACCAAGTCTCGATCGATTATATTAGGATTCGTTGGATTTTTTTCAAGTACCTCGAGATTAATAGCAGGAGCAGCAGACCAGATATGGCAGCAGTATTCAATGCACGGGTGAATGGTAGATTTATAAATGTGCAAGATGGACTCTGACGAGAAAAATTTAAGTGGTAGCACATGTTAGGGCAAACAGGGAATCCTCAAACAAAACTCTATGAAAATATAAAAATATATTTTTATAGTAAAAATACCAGTAATACATTTTTATATAAAAAAATTACCAACAATACGTATTTATAGTATAATTACCAACAACACATTTTGAGACAAAATGACCAACAATACATTTTATGGTAAAATAAACAATAACTTTCTAATAGAATTATCAACAATACATTTTATAACAGAATGAGCAATAATACATGTATTTATATTTGAAGCCATAAAATTATGTACAAAATATTTAGATTTCGGCATTAAACCACCCATTGGTTGATATTCCGCTAAACAAAATCAACCAATCAACCGTCTGAATTTCTGGGATGGGTTATCATTATTTACGCCATATTTGGACTATCATCCTCCTCTTTGTTTTTATCACAATGTTTTGATCGTTGCCCCCCTTCCTCATGTGTATATCGAGCTTTGTAACCTAGACGGAAATCTAAACTGAACCCATTATTTAATCTAGGGAGTAGACTGTTCTCGTTCCACTGCTCATGTCTCGGGATATCTCGCCTAGTTCTTATTTCTAGTACTGCTCAGTTATTGCTCGCTCGTTTCCACTGCCCGACCCAAGGATTGAACTCACACTCCCTATGTGACCAAATTCACAAAACAACGATTTAATTTACAGTGATTCAATCCCTGGGTTGGGAAATTGGGTCTCGATATAGCTGAGATGATCTAAAACGTTTCAAGCAGGCATACTATATAGGTTGACCGTTATTTGGGTCGAGGTTTCCCTGTTTGTTGACTGCTTGCTTTGAAACACCGGTTATCGTACAATCACCAAAGTTAAGCAACATCCAGCCTGGAAAGTAATTGGATGGATAACAGCTTGAGTATACCAGGTTCTGTAAGCTTGGATGTTCGGGTGGTGTAATAATGGATAATGGCTCGGAATTGGAAATCTGTGAGCCGAGTTTCAATTCCAGTCGGGTTCGTTATATTCACTTACACTCAAATACCCTTGGGAAAGGCATGAATCCACATCTTCTCTCTACCAACTATGAGTTAATGAGTAGGTCTTGTATCAGTAAATCATTATTATCTCCCCTAAATTCTTACAATCCGAAAATATTTTTTGGTTGTAAATAATCGGCAAAAGGTTGATAATCCGTAAAAAAAAATCAAGTTAATTAATCAACAAAATTATGTTTGCTAAAATCTTTGATTTAATTCCTCTTATGTACTGTAAGACAACTTCCGCTTTTTTATTATTTCTGGCCAACATGGCTCTCCACAACTTCCTGTCTCTTTCAGTTTGCATGATTTAAGTGTTGTTATCATAAATTTTCATCGGGTTTTTACTAATCTGGTAACCTTCAGGGAATTTAGAACTGAATTTTTCATTTAATCTACATGAGTAGATTGTTCTCGAACCAGTTCTTTAATTCTGAATGTACAACTTGGAGACAGAGTAATGACAACAAAACCTCAGCAACAATAGACCTTCCACCACCGCTACTAGAAAATAGAAGCCCCATTTAATTTAGTCAAGTGTGAACGGCTTCAGTAGCAGGCAGATCAGGTTTAAGGTTCCAAGTTTTACACTCAGGGTTGTCCCAAGTTGGAACAAAGCATCGATTTGTAAATTTACTGATATAGCAATGGTGAGTTCAATCTCTGGACCGGCTAAGTGCAGAATGAACATAACAAAATAAGAATAAGAGGAGATATATTCCTTGACAAGATAAATGGAACGAGGACCAACTACTGCCGTAGATTAAATAAACACTTCAGTTCGAAAGTCCCTGAAGGTTGCTTTGATTTACAAACACCTGATGAAGGCCGAAATATCCTGAAGGATATTACTGCCATTGTGGAGTTTTATTACGTCTTCTGGTTCATTTTATTTATTCATTTTTTTTTCTTGTGCGCTAAGTTTAGAAACTGTTTCGTCTTCTTGGAATAACGAGGCTTACGGTCATATCATGTTGGAACAATGGTTCTTATACGATAAACATAGTTAAGCAACATCGTGCCTGGTTAGTACCTAGATGAGTGATGGCTTGGGAATACCAGGTGCAATGCTTGGGAATGCCAGGAGCTTGGATGAGCGAGTGGTGTAATGGATAAAATCTCTGAATTGTTAATCGGGGAGCAGTGTTCTAATTCCAGGCGGGTTTTGTTATACACACTTACGCGAAAATACCCTTAGGAAAGGTATGAATCTACATTTTTGTGGTATAGTAACGGTGAGTTCAATCTCTGGACCGGCCAGTTCACAGTGAATAACACTAAATAAGAATAAGACTAAATATCCCTCGACATGGTGAACGGAACGAGAGCCATCTACCCGCGTAGATTAAATAAGGAGTTCAGTTCGAAATTCCCTGAAGGTTATTTACAGTATTTATATTGACTGTTGTCATTATCTTTATTACCATATTAAACGACATTTCAGTCATTGTACGTTCCGGTCTTCTTCAGGTGATTGGAATTTCGAAGGGAACCCTTTATTTAGCCCACCGAGGTAGATTGTTCTAGTTCCACGTACAATGCCCCTTCCTGATGTTTAAGTTATCACGCTTTAACTCAACTCTCCAAGTTTCTTTTTCAACACTACAGTAGCCACGTATTTAACTCGCAACACTTTGGCTCATGTCACTGGATCTAACCAACGCTTTTATCCACTGAGTCGTGTATCATTGAGGAGGTTACTCGGATCGACAACCACCTGATGAAGACCGGAGAGCAAAACATCGAAACGTTGTGATAATATTCGCCTACCACCCCACACGGTCGGATGTGGCACAAGGCCGAGTTTATTGTGGGGTATCCGAGCCCGTAAGCTCGGCCAAAAATTCCCCGTAGACCCCGTAAAAAAAACGAGGTCGGGTAGCTGTCTACCACCCCAGATGAGACTCTGCCCTTTGGTATAGCCTCGCCTGAGTTCCTCTCTGCCCAAATGCTGAGAGTTCGACAAGCACACCTCCGAAGTAATTCGAGAGTGATCGAAACGTTGTGATATGAACAACAAAGACGAGGACCGTATTCAAATAACGATAACTTCTCATCAAAGAACTTCAGACAGAAATAGTCTCGTTCTCATTGTAAGTATACGTCTATTTGTAGCTCATGTATCCTTTAAGACTTCCTAGTTGCTCATTTATTCTTGTATTCTCAACAGCCATCGTTCGAACTACATCGCCGTCGTCTTTTATTCATTTCTGAGGTCATTGTCCAACATTCACTGCCGTTGGGAAGATTAGATATTACATAGCTGTTCAACGCTCTTTTTGGTATCTAATGTTATTTTCCTTTGCCTTATTAGAATACTTAATTTCTCGAAGGCATATTTCGCTGTTCCCATCTCTCTTCTGATTCTTCCCGTTTTTTTTTTGTTTTTGTTTTACCCATGTACATTTTTTTTTATCTTTATCTCTTAAAGGGTCTAGTTTATATCGTATTCCCTAATGTTACATTTGTAATTTAATTCTTTCCCTCGTATCATATTCCTCTCTTTTCCTTTTGTCTTTCTCCTTCTTCTAACCTTTCTCGGCTCCTTGTTCAACATTCTATCCTTTTACTCGACGTCTTCCTGCTACAAACTCTATTTCCTTGCTAGCATGTTTTCCCACTATGCGAAATGCTATTTATCAACTCTAACAGATATCCCGAAGCATTTAAAAGAACGAAAACAGCGCTTTCTGCGACTTTTCTTCTTGTTATTAACAATAAAAGAAATGGCGCAAAAGGTCGTTCTTCTGCACAAAGTCGTTGTTTTATTTAATTATTTTTGCTGATTTGTTTTCGTATCTGTCTATATTTCGGAGATGGTGTATTATAGTTATTTTCATTATTTCCATTGCTCGGACTGTTGTCCTCATCTTTATTGCCATATTCACGACGTTTCGGCCGTTGTACGCTACGGCGCAGTGGATAAACGCGTTGGTTGGATCCAGTGACTTGAGCCAAAGTTGCTGTCAGTTCAATACCTAGTTACTGCAGTGATGAACAAAAAAAAAAAAAAAAAAAATTGGAGATTTGAGTTAAAGCGAGATAACTGAAACATCCGGAAGAGGCATAGCATGTGGAACTAGAACAATCTATCTGGTGGATGAAATAAGGGGTTCATTTTTAAATTCTAATCGCCAGAGTGCATAACGGTCGAAGCGTTTTGAATGGTGGAATATCGATTAGGTTAACAATCGGAACTGTTTCGTCTTGTGTGTAAGCTTCGCCTGTCTGAATTTCCAATATCCTTTTCTCAAATATTATTATATTATTTTAAATTCTTTTCTGGTATGATTTTCTATATTCCACTGATATTTTTTCTTTTCATTTTTTATTCTAATCTTTTTTTCTACGGTTTTATTTTTTTATCATTTCTATCTTCCTTTATATCTATCGTTTATATGGCTTGTTTGGATTAAATTTCCTTTCTTTTCTTTATTCATCCATGTTCCGCTCTAACTTTTCTTTAGCGAGATTTTTCTTTTTTTCATTCCATGCTTCTTTCGTTTTTCTATTTGTCGATCTTATTTCCTTGTTTGTTTACAATTTTTTTCACTCGGCCTTTATTTCTTTCCTCTTTTCTTTCTCTCTCTTTTTTTTTCTCTGCTTGTCTATTTTCTATTTTCAGATCCTATTTTCTGTACCCCTTTTTTTAGCCTTTTTATCTCTTTATTTATTTATTTTTAGTTCCTATTTCCTTTATTCATTTGTTTTGTAGTTTTTCTCTCGGCCTTCCTACTTTCCTGTCGTTTTTTTTTCTTCTTACACTGAAACAAAACAGCACCTTTGATATGTCTTTTGGATCTTTCCACGTGATCAAAACGGAATAATCCATCATTTATGTGGTATTGCCTAGGCGGTACTTTTTTTTCTTTCCTTCTTTTTTTTTTACTTTCTTTCTTTTTTTTTCTTTCTTTCTTTTTTATTTTTATATTCTATTTCTTTTACTTGTTTGTCTAACATTTCCTTCCGGTCTTCCTTTCTTCTTTCCTTCCCTCCTTCCTTCTCGTCTTCCTTCCTTCCTTCCTTCCTTCCTTCCTTCCTTCCATCTTTCCTTCCTCCCTCCTTCCCCTCCTTCCTTCAATTCCTTTCTTCCTTTTTTCCTTATTTGCTTCCTCCCTTCCTCCCTCCCCTCCTTCCTTCCTTGCTTCCTTCCTTCCTTCCATCCATCCTTCCTTCTCTTCTTCTTTCCTTCCTTCCTTCCTTCAATTCCTTCAATTTTTTCCTTCCTTCCTTCCTTCTCTTCTTCCTTCCTTCTCTTCTTCCTTCCTTCCTCCCTCCCTTTCTTCTCTTCTTCCTTCCACCCTCCCTCCCTCCCTCCCTCCCTCCCTTCCTTCTCTTCTTCCTTCCTTCCTTACTTCCTTCCTTCCTCCCTCCCTCCCTCCCTTCCTTCCTTTATCCATTCATCCATTCATTCGTGCCATCATTCCTTCCTTTTCCGATTATTTTTATTTTTTATCCTATTTCATGTACTCGTTACTTTGAGTGACATAACTAATTTCAAATCGGAACTAACTTCAAATCGGAACTAATTTCAGCTCGGGACTAATTTCGCCACGGAATTAATTTCAACTCTGTACAAATTTCAATTCGGAATTTATTTCAACTCGGAACTAATTTCAACTCAATTTTAAAATCTTAACTTTAACTCTTAGTTCCGAGGTGAAATTAGTTCCGAGTTGAAATTAGTTCCAAATTGAAATTAGTTCCGAGTTGAAATAAGTTCCAAGTTATAATTAATTCTGCACCCAGTTATTTTCCATTTTCTCTCTTACTTACTTTCCTTCTTTATTTATTTATTTATTTATTTATTTCACTGAAACCAAACAAGTATTTCTGAAATGACTTTACCATATTTCTTTGTGATCAAAATGAAATAATGTATTATGAAAGTGACAGGGAATTTCTTTCTTTCTCTGACTGTTTCTTTCTTTCTCTCTCTGTTGTTTTTTTGTTTTTTTCACTCTTTTTTTCTCTCTCTTTCTTTCTTTCTTTCTTCTTTCTTTCTTTCTTTCTCGCTTTCATTCTTTTTTTCTTTCTTTTCTATTTGCTTGTTTCTTTTATTATCTTTCGATCCAAATCCCTTTCTTCTTATTTCCTATTGTTTCAAAGCTTTTTGCTTTTATATGTTTTATTATTTTTTCTTTTCTTTTTCCTTTCCTCTAATCGTTTCTTTCTCCTTAGCTTCGTTTATTTGGTTTTTTTTTGTTTCCTTTTACTCTTTTTCTGTTCTCATATTCCTTTTTCTGTGTCCTCCTCAACCTATTTCTCTGCAGAACGAATCGAAGATTTCCCTAAGGATTATTGTTTTTGAAAATAGGAAATAAATTTTTTAAAATAAAAAGCTCAATTAGACGACTTTCACATTGTTGAAAACTTTTTATCAAATTCATTAAACATCTTCGTTTGTACATCCGGAGTATGGGAAGTGATGTGAGAAGCAAACTTCCGGTTGAGAACTCTTCAGTGTTTGTTCATAGCGGATCAATGAAGATTATATGGGGCCTCATTAACGTTCAGTTTTGAGAAGCAAACGCTCGTTAAACAAAATCTCGAGGCTTGAGGTAAAATAAATTTAACTAATTTGGTTTTATTTTATTGCATAAAAATGAACATAGGCTTTTCTTCTTGTCTTTCTGTCTCGTTAATCTTTATTTAACAAAAGTCCTTGAAAAGAAACGGCCTTAGGCGATATCACGTTGAAAAAAACTGTTCTCGTGCGATCACCGAACTTATGAAACGTCGAACCAGATCAGTACGTAGACGGGATATCGCTTGTGAATATCATGGTACACAGAACATATGAAGACTATTACTGCTATTAGGGAGTTTGATATATGTCCTCCTTTATGGGAATGAGTGCTGGACGATGTCCTCAAAGGTGAAGAAGAGACTTTAAGCAACAGAAATGTGGTTCTACAGAAGGACGCTGAGTATACCATTGTCCTAACATGCGAGCTACGGCGAAATCTTAGAGAAAAATGAAACAAAATGGAAACTTATAGTTAAAATCAGAAATAGACAGTTGCGTTTCTAGGGTACATAATGAGGAAAGAGGGTTTGAGAAGTCTGATACGCACAGGACAGAATGATGGCAAATGAGATATAGGAAAAAACCCATGACATAGTGAGCTTGAATAAAAGGATGTCAGGTTTAGAAGAATTAACAGACAGACAAAATGTGGGAGAGAGGCGATCATGCTTCTCCACAACTTCCTGTCTACTGTAGCTGTTAAGGTAAAACAGATAGGAAGTTCTGCAGAACCATGATCGCCTACGTCCTGAGGGGACAGGGGGGCATAAAAAAGAAGCTTCTGTCTTCTTGCTCTTTTTTACTTTGCTTGTGTCAGACAAGTCTAAGCTTAGTAACTGTTTCCATAACTGTCTCTGTTTCTAGTAACTGTTTCTTTTGCGATAACCCCCAGAAGAGTGACTCACTGCACTTTCTTGGGCTTACATTCTCGGCTGACATGAAGTGGAAAGATTATATTGAATCCATTGCTTGATCTGCTGCTAAGTGTTGTGGTGTCCTCCCTCTAAAGAGTCTATCTAGGACTCTTCCGCCTATTATAAGATTAGCAGGAGCGAAGGCCTTAAGGGAACAGTCAAGCTGTTGTGACCAAGTAAATGGTTAAAGAAATAACAAAACAAATGTTACAGATATATCATATATTAAACAGTAAGTACAACAGAAGAGTATTACACGACTAGTGAGTGTGTTCAATCTATTCGACTGTTCCCTCGAGGCCTTCTCTCCTACTAATCTTAAAGTAGGCGGAAGAGTCCAATATAGACCCTTTAGAGGCAGGACACCACAACACTAAGAAAGTTGGTTCAATGTGTCAAATTAAATAATTTTCTCCCTACAATCTCTCTTACATATTTATAAGTCGACCGCTCGTCAATGCTTTGAATATTGCTGCCACATATAGTCTGATGCTGCTGCTATATATTTAGAGATTCTTGATAGAACCCAAAGAAGTATCTGCAATGTTACTGATCCTGATCTGGCATTTCGGCTTCAGTCCCTTTCCCATAACTATCCGTAGTGTAGATTCCTTGTGCCTTTTCTATAAATACTTTCATGATAATTGTTCTGATGGTAGTCTATGGTAGCTAGACTTTATGGATTTAAGCGCAGTACTAGATTGGCGGGAAGGTCTCATCATTTTGAAGTTGAAATGCTAAGATATAACAGTAAGTTCTATGTTAACTCTATTCATAGCTTCTTTCTTTCCTGTAAATTTCATCTTCAATCTTTATCTTCTGTCTTAATTTTTGTTCTTTTTTTGTTCTCTCTCCTTAAGTGTATTTTGTCATATTCTCTAACGCTCAGTAACCTCTTGTATCTTAGAGGCTTTATTACCTTGCTTGGGGATGAAATGATTTAAAAAAATGAACTCTGAAATAAGAAAGATTGAAAAACGCTGTTCAATAAGAATGTGACTTTGACATGATTGATTCTGTTATTAAGAAAAATGTCCAAACATTTTCAATCAGATATCGATGATAAGATACGTCAGATTTTTCTTTAAAAAAACGGTAAAATGATATCTTTTTTATCCCCCAGTTTAAGAATTATAAATTGCGAAATACAAAGTGATTGATAAAACTGCAAGAATTCCTAGACAAGATTGTAAAGGAAAGCAAGAGGAAAGGAATAATTATCATATGTCAGAAAAGATTCTGTATGGTCGTCAGCAATATGGAGAGTCCGAGATGTACGAGTTGGAGGCATCAGACATTTTACAAGCAGACGAATGAATGTGTTACATTGATCGGAAGGGCCAACTGAAATAGTGAAATATGCCTCTCAAAAGTTATAGAAAGCAATAAGGAACCATAGAAAAATTGTTAGAAACAAGGAAAACTGCGCCGAAATACGATGTAATATCAATCTTTCTATATGGTATTTAATGTTGGAAAATTACCTCAAAGATGATGAGGCGATTTGAGGCAAGAAAGATGTAGTTTTACAAAAGGATGCTGGGAATGTTATGGGAATAACACGTGAGGAAAGAGGAAACCTTAACGAAAAACATGAACAAAATGAACACTTGATATATATATATATATATATATATATATATATATATATATATAAAAACATTTTTTATGTTTATACGTTCTTTTTAAAATAATTGTCGGACTTTGTCCATTTCATAATATATATATATATATATATATATAGATATAGATAGATAGATAGATAATATTAGTGGCCTATATATATATATATATATATATATATAAAATATGTGTGTGTGTGTATATATATATATATATATATATATATATATATATATATATATATATATATATGTATGAAGAAAAATATACTGAAAAAACAAACAAAAATCCTAATATGCAATTATGCTGTTTTAATGTTTAATGTCGACGTCGGACGTTTCGGTCTAATAGACCATCTTCAGGACATATTCATAAAGCATAATTAACATACACCATATACAATTCAACATGAAAAAGAAGATCGACATAAAAGCAATACCAATCCAAACAGATAACTGAAATCTTTTATAAGATCAGCGTTCCGTTTCACAATATGATCACGTCGTCGTCACGTGGGCGATGTTGTGAAAATGTTTTAAAAAATCCACATTACAACCAAAAACGTTTACGGTTTCTCTCTTCTTTTAATATACACACTTTTCTCTCGTTGGAACTACTATAACCTCTTCCTTATATATATATATATATATATATATATATATATATATATATATATATATATATATATATATTTCCAAGAGGATGTAATCCAGGTATAGCACAAAATCATAGACAAAGCAGGAATATAATATAAAAGGCTCAACACTAATCTTTCATTTGTTATAATTTGTTACATTGGAATCGTAATCACGATCTGATGAATTGGCTCGTGATTACGATTCCAATGTCACAAATTATAACCATGAAAGATTAGTGTTTGAGCCTTTTATATTATATATATATATATATATATATATATATATATATATATATATATGTGTGTGTGTGTGTGTGTGTGTGTGTGTGTCTGTGTGTGTGTGTGTGCAAGTATATTTACATATTTTACACAATTTTCCTGGTTTCAACTGAAAAATATGTATATATATATATATATATATGTGTGTGTGTGTGTGTGTGTGTGTGTGTGTGCATTCGTGCAAATATGTAATATTTGAAATTATTTTCGGAATCTCAATTTAATATATATATATATATATATATATATATATATATATATATATACAAATACAAATACACACACACACACATATATATATATATATATATATATATATATATATATATATATATGTAGTTTTGTTGGAAATAATTTGAATTGTACGTGAACGTATTTAGGTTTCGCCTATATTTGCGAATGGAGATTCTTTCCGATTTTCTAAGTGCTTTGTAAATATTGAAGCGAACATTTTAGCGCAAAGCAAGAAACCCAGGATTGGATTAACTTCAAAAAGAAAATCG